TGGTGTTGTCAAGCTACTCTCTCTCTCTCTCCTCTTCCCTTCTCTCTCTTTTCTCTCTCTCTCTCTCCATCAACTGTGGTGGTGTTGTCAAAGCTTCTCTCTCTCTTCTCTCTCTCTCTCTCTCTCTCCATCAACTGTGGTGGTGTTGTAAAGCTACTGTCTCTCTCCATCAACTGTGGTGGTGTTGTCAAGCTACTATCTCTCTCCATCAACTGGTGGTGGTGTTGTCAAGCTACTCTCTCTCTCTCTCTCTCTCTCTCTCTCTCTCTCTCTCTCCATCAACTGTGGTGGTGTTGTCAAGCTACTATCTCTCTCCATCAACTGTGGGTGGTGTTGTCAAGCTACTATCTCTCTCCATCAACTGGTGGTGGTGTTGTCAAGCTACTGTTTCTCTCCATCAACTGTGGTGGTGTTGTCAAGCTACTGTCTCTCTCCATCAACTGTGGTGGTGTTGTCAAGCTACTGTTTCTCTCCATCAACTGTGATGGTGTTGTCAAGCTACTGTTTCTCTCCATCAACTGTGATGGTGTTGTCAAGCTACTGTCTCTCTCTCTCTCTCTCTCTCTCCATCAACTGTGATTGGTGTCAAGCCCACTGTCTCTTTTCTCCTCTCCATCAACTGTGATGGTGTTGTCAAGCTACTGTCTCTCTCTCTCTCTCTCTCCATCAACTGTGGTGTTGTCAAGCTACTGTCTCTCTCTCTCTCTCTCCATCAACTGTGGTGGTGTTGTCAAGCTCATGTCTCTCTCTCTCTCCATCAACTGTGGTGTTGTCAAGCTACTGTCTCTCTCTCTCTCTCCATCAACTGTGGTGGGGGTTGTCAAACTTTATGTCTCTCTCTCTCTCCATCAAAATGTGGTGTTTTTGTCAAGCTACTGTCTCTCTCTCTCTCTCCAACTGTGGTGGTGTTGTCAAGCTCATGTCTCTCTCTCTCTCCATCAACTGTGGTGGTGTTGTCAAGCTACTGTCTCTCTCTCCAACTGTGGTGTTGTCAAGCTACTGTCTCTCTCTCTCTCTCTCTCCATCAACTGTGATGGTGTTGTCAAGCTACTGTCTCCCTCTCTCTCCAACTGTAGTGGTGTTGTCAAGCTACTGTCTCTCTCTCTCTCCAACTGTAGTGGTGTTGTCAAGCTACTGTCTCTCTCTCTCTCCATCAACTGTGATGGTGTTGTCAAGCTACTGTCTCCCTCTCTCTCCATCAACTGTGGTGGTGTTGTCAAGCTACTGTCTCTCTCATTCTTCATCAACTGTGATGGTGTTGTCAAGCTACTGTCTCTCTCCATCAACTGTGGTGGTGTTGTCAAGCTACTCTCTCTCTCTCTCTCCATCAACTGTGGTGGTGTTGTCAAGCTACTGTCTCTCTCCATCAACTGTGGTGGTGTTGTCAAGCTACTCTCTCTCTCTCTCCATCAACTGTGGTGGTGCTGTCAAGCTACTGTCTGTCTCCATCAACTGTGGTGGTGTTGTCAAGCTACTGTCTCTCTCCATCAGCTGTGGTGGTGTTGTCAAGCTACTGTCTCTCTCCATCAACTGTGGTGGTGTTGTCAAGCTACTGTCTCTCTCCAACTGTGGAGGTGTTGTCAAGCTACTGTCTCTCTCCATCAACTGTGGTGGTGTTGTCAAGCTACTCTCTCTCTCCATCAACTGTGGTGGTGTTGTCAAGCTACTCTCTCTCTCTCTCCATCAACTGTGGTGGTGTTGTCAAGCTACTCTCTCTCTTTTCTCCATCAACTGTGGTGGTGTTTGTCCAAAACTACTGTTTTCTCTCCATCAACTGTGGTGGTGTTGTCAAGCTACTGTCTCTCTCCATCAACTGTGGTGGTGTTGTCAAGCTACTCTCTCTCTCTCTCCATCAACTGTGGTGGTGTTGTCAAGCTACTGTCTCTCTCCACTCAACTGTGGTGGTGTTGTCAAGCTACTGTTTCTCTCCATCAACTGTGGTGGTGTTGTCAAGCTACTGTTTCTCTCCAACTGTGGTGGTGTTGTCAAGCTACTGTTTCTCTCCATCAACTGTGGTGGTGTTGTCAAGCTACTGTTTCTCTCCATCAACTGTGGTGGTGTTGTCAAGCTACTGTTTCTCTCCATCAACTGTGGTGGTGTTGTCAAGCTACTGTCTCTCTCCAACTGTGGTGGTGTTGTCAAGCTACTGTTTCTCTCCATCAACTGTGGTGGTGTTGTCAAGCTACTGTTTCTCTCCATCAACTGTGGTGGTGTTGTCAAGCTACAGTTTCTCTCCATCAACTGTGGTGGTGTTGTCAAGCTACTGTCTCTCTCCAACTGTGGAGGTGTTGTCAAGCTACTGTTTCTCTCCATCAACTGTGGTGGTGTTGTCAAGCTACAGTTTCTCTCCATCAACTGTGGTGGTGTTGTCAAGCTACTATTTCTCTCCAACTGTGGTGGTGTTGTCAAGCTACTGTTTCTCTCCATCAACTGTGGTGGTGTTGTCAAGCTACTGTTTCTCTCCATCAACTGTGGTGGTGTTGTCAAGCTACTGTCTCTCTCCATCAACTGTGGTAGTGTTGTCAAGCTACTGTTTCTCTCCATCAACTGTGGTAGTGTTGTCAAGCTACTGTTTCTCTCCATCAACTGTGGTAGTGTTGTCAAGCTACTGTTTCTCTCCATCAACTGTGGTAGTGTTGTCAAGCTACTGTTTCTCTCCATCAACTGTGGTAGTGTTGTCAAGCTACTGTCTCTCTCTCCATCAACTGCAGTATTATTAATCTTTTTTGTCCTCAAGTCTCCTAAGATTTATATCAATCTCAATATATCTATTGTTATTCACACAGGTGCTGGTGATAACATCTAGTTATACACACAGGTGCTGGTAATAACATCTAGTGCTATACACACAGGTGCTGGTAATAACATCTAGTGTTATACACACAGGTGCTGGTGATCATCTGGTTATACACACAGGTGCTGGCGGTCATCTGGTTATACACACAGGTGCTGGCGGTCACCTGGCTATACACACAGGTGCTGGCGGTCATCTGGTTATAAACACAGGTGCTGGTGATAACATCTGGTTATACACACAGGTGCTGGTAATAACATCTAGTGCTATGCACACAGGTGCTGGTAATAACATCTAGTGTTATACACACAGGTGCTGGTGATAACATCTAGTGCTATGCACACAGGTGCTGGTAATAACATCTAGTGTTATACACATAGGTGCTGGTGATAACATCTAGTGTTACACAGGTGCTGGTAATAACATCTAGTATTATACACACAGGTGCTGGTGATAACATCTGGTTATACACACAGGTGCTGGTAATAACATCTAGTGTTATACACACAGGTGCTGGTAATAACATCTAGTGCTATGCACACAGGTGCTGGTAATAACATCTAGTGTTATACACATAGGTGCTGGTGATAACATCTAGTGTTACACAGGTGCTGGTAATAACATCTAGTATTATACACACAGGTGCTGGTGATAACATCTAGTGTTATACACACAGGTGCTGGTGATAACATCTAGTGTTATACACACAGGTGTTGGTGATAACATCTAGTGTTATACACACAGGTGTTGGTGATAACATCTAGTGTTATACACACAGGTGTTGGTGATAACATCTAGTGTTATACACACAGGTGCTGGTGATAACATCTGGTTATACACACAGGTGCTGGTGATAACATCAAGCGTGATTAAATTTTTCACACTTTCATTCTTCAAGTTCCGGTGAACCAAACGTCTACACAATAAAAAGTCATAACTGGCTTTGTGTCTCATTACACACCTGCTTCAGCCATAACATTTCTCACTTAACCTCACAATTAGCATTCCTCTCATCTTATGATTTATTTTAAACTTCTCCCCGTGCGACGCATACAATTCTAAAAAGTTAAATCTGATTATCGTACACTTGATGTCTACTACCAAACTGTTTGCCAGGATCAGTAGTATTTCTCTGGAAAAATCACTTACATCGTACGTTAGAAAGTTCAATCAACAATTCTGTTTTTTTTCTCATTCCTGCAAACGCCAATGTTGGAAATTTTCATCAGGATCAGAAAATATTTAGTTCCTAAGTTATTTAAAATCTTGCTTTGTATTTGTCCTTTGTCTAAGAGTAGTCCTTACACCTGAGGAAGGGCTCACTCTATCCATGTCTAGAGTTCCTCAAACATGAGGAAGGTCCCACTCTATTCTTTTCTAGAGCTTCTCAAACCTGGGCAAGTGCACTCGCTTACTGAAATATGTTAGGAAAAACTATAATAGCATTATTTTGAGAGGGGAAGGTCAGTGGCACTAAAAGTATGCTCCAGACCCAGGAGAAGATGCAGGTTGGAAAGGGAGAGGCGTGGCCACTATAGGAAAAGACGATGGACAACAGAGCTCTTCAAAGGACACTTTCGGAAGAAGAAAAACCAAGACTAGGGAACTGGAAAACGTTGAGATCAAATTATATGCATCAGAGTCCAGGAGATATAACTTCTGAAATGTTTCGAGAGTTTTCCTAATGCTGCAGCCCGGCCCTGGACACTAGATAGATAGAACAGAGGGAGCAAAAACAAGTTAACGAAATTGAGAGATACTCAAAATACTTCTTTTCATACGAAAGATCTAAGGAAAAAGCATCAAGTATCGTGCTTTTGACTAAAGGAAACAGAACATGCAGTGACCCTAACGAGTTCTTCATGAATGAAATGTAAAACGCTACAGATATCTCCATAATCTCCGATATAACCTTCACCTCAAATGACTTCAAATAAACAACTGATTGTATGCCCATGCACTCGGTCCCAGACTCAGAATCATAGATCTCCGTATTCCTTAAGAATGGAAAGAAACCACTATCATGAGCCTTAAATATGCTATGGAGAAGGAGCCTGGACACTGGAGTCATCCCATAGTTACAAAACACTAATATTGCCTTACTCCACAAAAGCGGCAGTAAAGGAATTTAAAAAGAAATAAACTGACAGCACTAACGTCTCACCGTTATCAAGATTATTGAAAGGGATATACGAAGCAAGATTACCAATCATATGGAACTGCAGAAGTTGCACATCCCGGGTCAAAATGAGTTCAGAACAGGTCGTTCCTCCCTCTGGCTCTACTGGATCATTACGACAGTCTTGGATGCACTGGAAAACAAGCAAAATGCAGATGTAGCGTACATCAAATTCGCAAAATCCTTTGAGAAGTGCGACAATTGGGTAATTGCACTCAAAACATATGCTAAAGGAATATCTGGAAAGGTGGTCAAATGAATTTTAACTTCCTAGCAAATAAAACCCAAAGAGTAATAGTAAACAGTTAAATTAGTGGCTGCTATAAAGAAAAGTTGTGTCCCCAAGGCACAGTACCCATCCCACTTCTCTTTCTCATTCTAATATCTGCAGACGACAATAGCATCCGTATGAAAGTGGCATCTATAGAAGATACAGTGAGCCTCCAAGCTAATATAAACGAAGTCTTCCAGTGAACTACTGAAAACAATATGATGTTTAGTGAGGAATGACGAAAAAAAAAAAACAAGATCAGGGTACAAGACAAACTAAAATTACTCGACAGAGCAAATCTAATGCGAGAAACCTGAAAGTGATAATTTTATATCTCACCTTCAAGGAGCACAACAATGTTACTAATGCAACTACAAAAAAAAAAATGACAGATTGAATAAACAGCACCTTCTGTCTAAGCTGGAATAATGCTGTGTACTAGTGGCCACCTTCAAGGCAGGAGAAACTGCAGAATTGGAAAATTTAAGAACCTTCACAGCTCATATAAATTCAGTCGAGCACCTAAATTGCTGGGATTGCTTATAGTCCCTAGAGTACTCTGGAGAATGCAGACGAGAAAGATACATCATAATCTACACCTGGAAGATACCGGAGGGATTGGTCCCAAGCCTACAGGATACTTCTGATGAAAAGCAGGAGAACGATAATACACTGAGAGAACTCAATAAGCGTTAAAGGAACCACGCCTATAACACCCTTCCCTCACGCATAAGGGGAAGTACCATAAAACTCTTAGCTGTCTTCAAGAGGACACTCGACAAAATCCTCAAATCAGTTCCTGATCAGCCGGGTTATAGTGCACACCTTGGAGTGCATGCAGAAGAGGCGCTCTAGAGGTTAACTCTCCTCTAAGACTTGTCCTCACTTCAGGGAAGGCGCCCCCATATACTCAAACTTTATATAAATGCAAGAGCGAGATTCCTCTGACTAGTGTACCTGATGTCGAATCTAATTCTAACCCATTAGCCTCCAGCCACAAAACTACATCTCTATCACTGCTAGGACTCCCAGGTCTCTCACTCTAGGCTTCTTACTGGGTTCTTTTCCCCAGGCTCTCATTTCTAGGCTTTTTGTTGGGTTCTTTTCCCCAGGCTCTCATTTCCAGGCTCTTACTGGGTTCTTTTCTCAGAGTTCTTACTCCCAGGAAAACACAAGGTACCTCTCATATGCCTTGATGAGTTCCCAGATTTTTTCTACTCCCAGAGCCGAGTCTTGGGCCAGGCTTGTCTGTTATTACTTGAGTCACCCAGGCTGTTGCTGCTGGCGGCCCGCTAGCTCACACAGCCATCACCGCCTAGTTGATCTGGCAAAGATACCTGTCCAGTTGTGAACCCTTTTTGTATATGGTCGTGTAATACAGTACTCAGTAGCGGCACACGTGTGGTGGGTGAGGCGTGAGGGTTTGTGGTGGTGGTGGAAGAATTACTGGGGGAATGGGAGGGGCTGGTAGGATGTAGGATTGGGAAGGGGAAGCACACGGGTTGGGGAACGGAGGAGGAGGGTAAGAGAAGTGTTTTGTACAAGATTTCCTTCAGTTTAATAATAATAATAATAATAATAATAATAATAATAATAATAATTAACTCTGATTCAAGTGTAAAAATCACATAGTAACTATACGGAGGTAAGAAGATGAGAGGTGGTTACCTGAAGAGTTACTGGAGGTGGTGTTACTTGTGGTGTTACCTGAGGTGGTGTTGCCTGAAGCGTTACTTGAGATGGTGTTACTTGTGATGTTATGAGGTGGTATTACCTGTGATGTTATCTGAAGTGGTGTTACCTTAAGTGTTACTTGTTACTTGAGGTGGTGTTACCTGTGGTGTTACCTGAAGAGTTACTTGAGGTGGTGTTACCTGAAGTTACTTGAGGTGGTGTTACCTGTGGTGTTACCTGAAGAGTTACTTGAGGTGGTGTTACTTGTGGTGTTACCTGAAGAGTTACTTGAGGTGGTGTTAATTATGGTGTTACCTGAGGTGGTGTTAATTGAAGTTACTTGTGGTGTTACCTGAAGAGTTACTTGAGATGGTGTTACCTGAAGTGTTACTTGTGGTGTTACCTGAAGTGTTACTTGTGGTGTTACCTGAAGTGTTACTTGTGGTGTTACCTGAAGTGTTACTTGTGGTGTTATCTGAAGTGTTGAGGTGTTACTTGTGGTGTTACCTGAAGTGTTACTTGTGTTACCTGAAGTGTTACTTGTGGTGTTACCTGAAGAGTTACTTGAGATGGTGTTACCTGAAGTGTTACTTGAGGTGTTACTTGTGGTGTTACCTGAAGTGTTACTTGTGGTGTTACCTGAAGTGTTATTTGAGGTGCTGTTACTTGTGGTGTTACCTGAAGTGTTACTGTGCTGTTACTTGTGGTGTTACCTGAAGTGTTACTGTGCTGTTACTTGTGTTACCTGAAGTGTTACTTGAGGTGCTGTTACTTGCGGTGTTACCTGAAGTGTTACTTGAGGTGCTGTTACTTGTGGTGTTACCTGAAGTGTTACTTGAGGTGCTGTTACTTGTGGTGTTACCTGAGGTGGTGTTACGTGTGTTACCTGAGGGGGTGTTACTTGTGGTGTTACCTGAGGGGGTGTTACTTGTGGTGTTACCTGAGGTGGTGTTACGTGTGTTACCTGAGGGGGTGTTACTTGTGGTGTTACCTGAATTGTTACTTGAGATGGTGTTACTTGTGATGTTATGAGGTGGTATTACCTGTGATGTTATCTGAAGTGGTGTTACCTTAAGTGTTACTTGTTACTTGAGGTGGTGTTACCTGTGGTGTTACCTGAAGAGTTACTTGAGGTGGTGTTACGTGAGGTGGTTTAACTTGAGGTCTGACCTGAGGTGGTGTTACTTGAGGTCTGACCTGAGGTGGTGTTACTTGAGGTTTGGCCTGTGGTGGTGTTATTTGAGGTGTTACCTGAGGTTTGACCCAAGGTGGTGTTACTTGAGGTGATGTTATCTGATGTAGTGCTACCTGAGGTGTCAGGACACAGGTGTCCACTGTACCCAGGTACTGTACCTATTTACCACTTGGTGAGCAGCAGCAGTAAGCGAAAGGTCACTTGCTTCACACGTCTCGTCCGTGCACAGTTCGAACCCAGGAGCTTTTATTTGGTATAGCACGCATGGTGAGTATGGGAAGTGGGTAATAGGTGGGGTGTATGGGGAGGTGGTTGTAGGTGGGGGTGTTTGCGGGAGGATGAAGGGACGTAGGGGAGCAGAGTGGGTGTGGGTATTTCTGGGTTTCTCAGGGTGGGAAGATGGAAGAAGTGGGGTGGAGCTGTTAGCATACTGGGGGATGGGGAGTTTGTGGGTGATTGGTTGTTACTGAGTGGGTCGGGTGGGTCAGTAGGGAGGGTGGGGATATAATGGTGGCTGTGATCGCTTTTGCATATACACGTGCGAGTGTGTTCGCACATGCGCGTGCACCAGTGCTTGGTGTAAGCATCTATCAGCGCAGACCAGTCTGTACCCGTGAACCCAAGTGTCGATTTAATGGGGAGGGGTCACCGCCCCCGCCCCCAAGCGGTCCGGTCCCAGACCAGGCCTTCCCTGCTGGTGGCTGGATCAAGCAAGCTAACAGGCAAGATATCACCCCTCAATAATTAACTAGGTCTCAGTTATTGCAACAACTTCGTAGCTCCCCCCTCTCTCCCTGCACTTCCTTGCTCACTTCCCGTCATCTGTTCACTCTTGCAAACTAACAATATCCTGACCTTGTCGTTCACGCTACTTCCTTCAGCAAATACCTCATGTCACCAGTAACACTGACTATATTACACCAGCAACACAGTAGCAGTGACAACACTACACCAGCAACACAGTAGCAGTGACTACCTGGAAGGTATTCCGGGGATCAACGTCCCCGTCGCCCGATCCATGGCCAAGCCTCCCAGTGGATCAGGGTCTGATCAACCAGGTTGCTACTGCTGGCCGCACGAAGTCCAACATACGAACCACAGCCTGGCTGATCCGGCACCGACTTTAGGTATCTGTCCAGCTCCCTCTTGAAGACACCAGGGTTCTATTGGTAATTCCCCTTATGCTTTGCGGAAGGGCTGTTGAACAGTCTTGGGTCCGGGACACTTACTGTGTTTTCTCTTGGTGTACAAATGGTGACCCTACTTTTCATTGAGGGCATGTTGCACCGCCTGTTTTCGTACAAATTAATGTCCGTGTACAGATTAGGGACCAGTCCCTCCAGGATTTTCCAGATGTAGATTATGATATATCTCTCTCGCCTGCGCTCCAGTGAGTACAAATCAAGTGCTTCCAGTAGTTGAAGTGTTTGATGAAACTTATATATGCAGTAATGCTTCTCTGTACATTCTCTAGATCTGCAATTTCACCTTCCTTGAATGGAGATCATAATGTACAGCAATATTCCAGCCTAGCCTAGAGAGAACAAGTGATTTAACAAGGTAACACTGGGAATATTTCCCAAAACATTACCTATGTCATACACAGGAAATATACACTGAGAGATGTCTCTCAGTGTATATATATTAAGAGTGTCTGGTGGTTGAGAGGTTACGTGTGGTCTTGATCGCAGAGCTGGAAACTGGAGAGAGAAACTTCACATTTCGTATTAACTCAGTGAAGCACCTAAACTACTGGGAGTGCTTGAAGTGCCTAGAACTGTACTCCTTAGAACGTAGGCGAGAAAGATACATGATGTAAACCTGGAAGATAGTGGAGGGATTGATCCCAAACCTGCACCCTGAAATTATGAATACAAGGGGCTTGGCAAGCGCCGTAATAATATCCAGT